TTATAAGATCTTATTTAAGAAAAAAATGTTGAACATTTGGATAAACCAAAATTGAAAACATATTCAATGAGGGACGAGAGCAAAAAAGTTATCATATAATCTGTCTAGATCAAGAATCTTCTTCAGTTCCTGAAAATACTGGTAAGTCATCTTTAATTTATAATTTATCTGATAAACTCATTACTCTTAAAAAATGAATCAAGACTTGCACCAAGCATCCTATGTCTAACTTTGTTTTCTATGACTCTCTATCTCTCTCCTATAAAATCTTTATCTTATTTTTTTTCTCTATATCTATTTCATATAATTTGAGAGAAACTCTAAAATATCCCAAATAGAAGGAAACTATGATTAAAGAAATGAAAGCAATTGGCAAAAAATGAAACATCAGAACTTGTTTCAACTTCACAAGAAAAAAAAAATGATTGATTGCAAATGGGTGTTCATTGTAAAATACAAAACAGACGGGTCAATTGAAAAGTACAAAGCTAGACTGGTGATTAAAGGGTTTACTCAAATTTATGGTGTTGACTATCAGGAAACTTTTGCACCTATCGTGAAGATGAACACAATTATAATATTACTGTCTTATGCAGCTAACCTTAATTGGGACTTACAACAGTTTGATGTGCAAAATGTCTTGCTCCATGAAGACTTAAGGAAGAGATATACATAAAAAACCTCCCTTGGATTTGAAGATGAAAGAATGTAAGGGAAGATTTGCAAATTTGAAAATGCCTCATACGAGTTGAAGCAGACTTTAAGAGTATGATTTGAAAGATTTAGAAAAGTTATAATCTCTTTTGAATATCAATAAAACAATGCTAATCATACCCTATTTATTAAACATCATGAGAGTAAAGTCATTTTTCTTATTATTTATATAGATGATATTGTGGTAACTAAAGATGACTCGATTGAAAGAACTTCTTGGTTAAGAGTTTGAAATAAATGGTTTAAGAAAATTGTATTACTTTTTGAGAATTGAAGTTGTCAAATCTAATAAATAAATCTTTATTTCTCAAAAAAAGTATATTATAAACTTACTATAAGAAACTGATATGATGGGTTGCAAGCGTGAAAGCAATCATAAACTACAAGCAGGTAGTGGTACGTCAGCTGACTTTGAAAGATATCAGAGATTGGTGGAAAGACTCATCTGTCTCTCATATATCAGACTTGATATAGCATATGAGTCATTATATGCATGATCCTCACGAGACTCATTTATATGTCGTCTTTCACATATTATGATACATGAAATCTGCACCAGAAAAATGTATGTTCTTCTCTAAAAATGACACTTTAAGATAGAATCATTTATAAATGCCGATTACACTGGATCTCTAAATGATAGAAGATCAATTACCGATTACTGTACACTCGTAGAAGGCAACTTGCTTACATGAAAAAGTAAGAAATTGAGTGTAATTGTTTACTATAGTGCTGAAGTAGAATATAAAGCAATGACCCAAGAAGTATGTAAACTATTATGGTTGCAAAAGTTAATGAAAGAATTTGAATCAGCAAAATTCATTGGAAATTTGTTTTTTGGAAGTTGTATAATCAGTAAACCTGATTTAATATTTATGTTGACTATTTTGAATTCATTTTCTATTTAATGAGCTGATATATGCTGAAAAATATCAATCAAAAAAATCATTCCAGCAACTTCTTCTTTCTTCCTTGTACTTTGCTCTCAATTTTTCTACATTTTCTCAAGTTCTGACTCAATTTTTTCACAAGCCTCAACATGTAAAAACTATTCTTGTTGGAATTTGAGAAAGACGAGACAACAAATAAGGAAGAAGCAGGGGATGAGAAAACATTTCATTTTGGCACTTGTGGACAAGTTACAAAATTGAAAAAAGCAAGGCGTGGGACCAATGAAAGCAGATAGAAAGGAATGTGAGTCTATAGTTGGGTAAGAATTTTGTTTTTTAAGTAACTAATAAGAGTTATAATTCTTTAAGAACAGAATCTATATTAAGTATTTAGATTTAGATATACATTAGGAAGTTGGAATGAAACTAGGATTACAATTCTTAGATATACAATTAGATTTGGGTTAAAAACCGGAAAAAATCTAGAATTATGATTCCTAGATTGTAATAGGGATCTATTTCTATTGGCTTCCCTATAAAGAACCTATTATCATCAATAAAATCATCAAACTACTAATCCAAAGAATTTCTATCTAAAATATCGGAGGTTCTCTAAGATGAGTCTCACCATAGGCCAAGAAGACTGGAAAACCAGGAAGCAAGCAGCTTGCTTGCTTCAAGATTTTACACTATCAGGCCCTGTGATCATATCCAAAGCCCAGGACCATGAGAGTTGGATGTATAAGGAAGTTCACACTTCCCGAAACTCGCAGTATTTTAATTGTTTTAAGTTTCTGCAAATTAGGAATTGGTTAGATTTCTTCCAAAGTCATAGAAGCAACTCCCCTACAAGTACCTATCTTAATAATACAATTATTCTATGAATTAATGGATTCCCTAAGAGATCATGGGTCTCTCCAGCAAACCAAATCATAGGCTGTTATAGCTGCAAATCTAACAAGCAAGGTTCATGCTTGCTCGAAGACTTTTTGATTGACAGACCTGTGAGGCAATCCCATAGCAGTGGACATAACAGCCACACAGTATATGCAAACCTTTTTTCGCAGCTGTAAGTTCCCTACCGAAGATAAAATTAGATCGCGATTTCCTACATCTATGATCTCCTGAGACAGTGTCAGTAGGATTTATCAATATAGTATACTTAAAAAAATAGTCAAACTAAAAGGGCTCCGTGGAAAATTCTCTAATAAATATAACTTCACTTGGTATCAGAATATTATGATACTAGTTTACAGGGAAGTTACACTTGATCTTTTATCTAACTGCAATCTGTTCTGTGCATAACAAAATTTCCGCATTTTTTAAGCAATGACCATTAATTAAAAAGGTTCAATTTTCTGAATATACGTGAAAAACTTAAGTATTTGCCCAAATTTTATCACAGTTCATTTTCCAGTAGCTGCAGAATCTCATATTAGCTACAAGTCATCAGATATTCAATCATATTCCAAAATACACATTTCCTCACAAAATTAATCAGACATTCAATTACTTTTACTCAAGCATTTAAAAAATAAAACTCACGGGAGAATTGTAGCAAAAACAGAATAATCTTCTGAACTGTTTGTACCACTAATAAGAGGCTCTTGTTCGGTATCAATCTCCCCAGAAGACTTTCCAGCCTATAAAGCAGCAAGATAGTCAATGAATACCAATGAACTTAAACATCAGCAGTAAACTTAAGTGATTTCTGTGGTTGGTCCAAATAGAGTAGAAGATATCATAACTTAACATGATTCTGATTCTTTTAATAATGAAGATGCTGTTTATCACAAATTGTTTTGATATGAGTGAATTAAGTGGCATTGGTCGACAATTGTCCAAGTTAATGGACAATCATAAATTTAAAAAGCTTCTTGTCTCTCTTATTTTTTCTCTTTTCCAGTGTTTTATTAACCAAAGAAAATAAAGATGTAAAAGAATACAAAAAATAGAATAAATTAAAGAAAGATCTCATGTAGGAATATTAAACAAAGTCCACTCCGGAGAGGACCAAAGAAAACTAGGGCTAAAATAACGGAACTAATTAGAACAGTTTTGATTTAGCAAGACTAATTACCAACTAGATTGATTTGTGTGACTAATTTCAATTTCCTAGATACCTCAACGAAGAACTCGCTGTTTTTCATTTCCCCTTACTTTCTCGATTCTCAGGCAACAAATAGAAAAAAAAAAAATAATAATTTGAAACTCCCTAACAAACCCCAATGCGACCCCAAAATTTAAAAGCAGAGCTCCATTTTGGAGAGAAAGAAGAAATCAGAAACTTCAATTTAATGTGCCAGGCATATTCGTCTCAAAAAGAAGGAATATGGAAAAGTAACTATAATGAAATCCAAGGAGATGATGCCTTTCACATTTGTTTGTTTGATTAGATTAAAGTTTCTCATCTGTCATTCGTTTGATCAAGCATATAACCTTCTTTCTTAGCTCAACTCCCATACAACAAATTAAAATCGTTTCCAATTACACGGAGATAATTTACCCACGCAGTGTCTCGTGAGCCAAACAAACAGCAGACAAGTAGTGCTACAATAGCGAAAATGATTAAGGAAGCAATGAAACGTTTACCAGGGAAGATAAAGTCGGCTGCTCAATAACCGATGTCATGCTTTCAAGATCTCAACACAGAGAGAAACTTTCGGGATGCGTGAATTTTGTTATGAAATAGAGGATTAAGGAATTATATAGTAAATGTTGATGAATTAGTTTGTGTTTCAACAGAGTTGTATAATAATGAGGCGACTTGGATTTTAGCTAGAAGGATGTTGACAAGGAAAAAGTAGTTGAGGACTTGGGAAAATACTAGGGAACGTAATAAGTAAGATAATAGGATAAGTCATTGTTTGTTTTATTGATAACCGTGGTAATAACGATGATTATAAAAATAATAATTGTGACAACAATGAATACCATACTAATAAATATAGTAAAAATAAGAGCCTTAGGGACAAAAATGGAGTAACAATAATGTACCGAAAATATTCAAAAAGAAATAAATGATAATTAAAGTACGAAAACAAAATAAATATTCAAGATTTATATTATTTATATAATAACTTAAAGTACTAATTAGTGTTTCGAAATTCATCATTTTGAAAGAAATACAAAGAAATAAGGAAATAAACGAAAAATAAAGAAAATTAGTATTCTACTCGCAACCCTCTTGCAGATCGGGATCTGGATTTTGGTCATCTTGATATGAAATGGTTAAATAAGGGATGAGTTACACTAGTTTAATAAGAATATCACATTATATCAACGACACAGAAATAAATATTAGTAGAAAATCAAAACAACTAATGCAGCACTTAATTTAAACCAATACATTTATTAAAAATAAAACCATTTACCATCCACTTACCGCAGTGAGATTTATAAAAACAACCTATAGATACAATAATATAGTACTTATCATGATTTTATATGCAATTGGTAACATGCACACATTATAAATCCATATTCAATAAATCAAACAACAATCTTTCCTTTTATTGGCCTATTGGTATCCATGAGGGTTCATAGAGATGTCCTCGTTACGCGTTAATCATTTCCTTCAATATTCTCAATTTAAGGGCCGTCCCCATACCTCGTCCGGTATGAGCGCTAAACTACTAAATCTCAATATCCTATCCGATATGAGGGTGAAACAGACCATCCCCATACCTAGTCCAGTATGAGTGCCAAATTACTAAGTCTCGATACCCCGTCTGGTATGAGACAATGTTCACGGTAGGGTTCCCTACTGTACCCGGTCCGTCCACCATCTCCCATGATATACAGTAAGGCTATCATTTCATCCATTCACTTAATCACACAATTTTCCGTTTTTCTTTAGTTTTCATTTTTTCAATTCAATGGCAATCACATAAATCAAACAATACATGCATTCAAAGCTATAAAATCAATCAATAAGGTACTATCATGCATTTAAATTATAAAAACAATCAATAGAACAATATTAGATAATTTCTGGTTCTGACTCCATTAGTAATCCATAATTAATTATGAACATTTTCTAAATTGTAACAAAATACCGTATTTATTGTTAATTATACTTCAACTCTATACCAAAGAATAGGGTGAGGGATTCTTACTCAATTTGGTGTCCGAAAAGCTAAACTATTTACTGCGCCTATAGGCGGTTCCTGGGTTCCCTGAATTTTTTTTCGGGAATCAAAACGCACTATAAGTACCTATAAATGTCCCAAACAAATCCAAAATCAGTCTCAGGGCCCACTTTGGCCAATTCTGGAATTCTAGCACGGTGGCTCTGCCGTGTTCCGGTGACGGCGCCGCCGCCCGCAGCGGTGGTCGGCTATTTTCGGTCGAATTCGGCTGATTTCAAATCAATCCCTGCAAGAAAACATGCTAAGGGGCCTCGGTTGGCAAAAAAAACACAAAAAAACTGAAACTCACTGGCGATGGGGCTCTTCGGTGGGGCGGCTCCTTCGGCTCACGTTGTGATTAGATGTTTTGCTCTAGTTAACCTATAGAGAAGGAAATGGTAATCACAACAATTAAAAAATTATGCAAACGGGAATTAGAAAAGGCCTCATCGGAGGCGTTTTGTGGAATTTCTCGCGGCGGCGCCGCCAGGTTTGCCCACGTTTTTCGACTAATCAGCCAGTTCTTTTGCTCTGATTTGGCCATGAGAGTCTTTAAAATTAAATTTTGAGCAAGGGAGAAAAGTTTCACCTCTTTTGGCAGTCGGAAAGGGCTCTAGCGCGGCGGCGGGTGGCGGCGGTCTCCTTCCCGGTAACTGAGTCTTCTTCTCCGGCGATGGGGTCTGGCGGTTAGGGTTAGGGTTTGGTGTGAATGGAGGGTTATTTATATTCGTTCTTTTCTATCTGGGCCATCCATCGCGTTTGATCTTGACCGTCCGGTCGTGATTAAATAGAGAGTGAATCTATACCGTTAATCACGATCCAATCTGGACCATTCATCACGATCTAATTTGGGTCGTCTGATTACGTTCAAATCTGACCCTCTGATCACGTTCAAATCTGACCGTCTGATCGCATTTGGGGAGGAAACACATATGGGTCATTCGTGCACGCGGGAACGGATCTGAACCTTTTTTATTGCAGGCACGCGGATCGCCCGCGTGTCTTCCCGTGTGTCACCGCACCAGCGTCCTCTGCCACGCGGCGCATCCTGATTAGTCGAGGTTGCTGACCGGGCATCTTACGTGGTGAAACTTTTCTAAATTATATTTTGACTATTGGTTTCTGATTTTTCTTTCAAAAATACCCCCCATAACCCAAATTTTCACCATTTTTTCTCCAAAATTATTTTCAATTTAATTCTCCATCAATTTTACTTCATTTTTACTCTAAATTAAAATTAAAAAATTAAAAAATTAAGAAATTATATTTATAATTAAATCCTAAATTATAAAAAATTAATTTAGGGTGTTACAACTCTCCTCGTTTAAAAGAAATTTGGTCCCTCAAATTTGTCTTTCTCACTCTCAATCAAATAGCTAGGGATATTTGGCTCTGAAGTCTAATTCTAGCTCCCATGTTGTCTCTCTCGGTGTGTGATTCTGCCATAGGACCTTAACAAATGGAATTTTCTGGTTGCAAATTAATCTGCTCTTTCGGTCCACAATATCGATCAATACTTCTTCGTAGGACAGATCCTCCTAGAATGAAAGAGGCTCGTGGGCCAAAATCTGAGAGAGGTCCGGGTTGTACTTGCGTAACATGGACACATGAAACACATTATGGATCCTGAAAAGTTCTGGAGGCAGTGCCAGTCTCTAAGCGACAATACCAATTCTATTTAAGATTTCGAATGGTCAAATAAATCGGAGATTCAGTTTCTCTCTCTTGCCGAATCTATTGATTCTCTTGAAATGAGTGACCTAAGGAACACCTGATCGCCTTTCTCAAATTCCAAATCTCTCCTCCGGGTGTCCACACAACTCTTCTGCTTGCTCTGAGCCGTCTAAATGTTCTTCATGATCTCAACTATTTTGGATGTAATCTCCTTTACCAGATCTGGGCCAAACAGTTTTCTATCACTCATTTCCTCCCAACAAATCGGTGATCTGCATGGGCGCCTATATAACGCCTCATACGGAGCCATGCCAATACTTGTTTGGTAGCTGTTGTTGTAGGCGGACTCTATTAGGGGTAGATAGTCATCGCAATGGCCCCCGAAGTTAAGAACATAAGCTTATAGTATATCCTCAAGTATGCGGATTTGTCCTTTCTGACTACCCATCGGTTTGAGGGTGGAATGCAGTACTAAGGGACAATTTCATTCCCATGGCTTGCTGAAGGCTAGACCAAAATTGAAAAGTGAACCTGGGGCCCCTGTCGAACACTACTATCACTGGCACTCTATGTAATCTGACTACTTTCAAGATATACATTCTTGCCAACTTGTCCAAGAATCGGTCATCCTGATGACCAAGAAGTGGGAAGACTTGGTAAGCCAGTCAACAATTACCCAGATGACATCATGTCCTGAGCGTGCCTTAGGTAATCCTGTCATGAAGTCCATGGTGATATGTTTCCACTTTCACTTCGAGATTGATAATGGCTGAAGTAGCCCACTTGGGTGTTGATGTTCTGTCTTAAGCTGCTGACATACCAAACACTTAGAAACAAAGTTAACTATATCTTTTTTCATCCCATTCTACAAAAATTGGGGTCGCATACTTTGGTACATCTTAGTACTTCCGGGATGCATGACAAACTTTGAGCTATGGGCCTTTGTCATAATATCCCTTTTTCACTCACTGTCACCTAGAACACACACTTTGTCCTGGAATTTGAGTAACCCATCGGTGGAGACTCGGAATTCTGGGTTAACTCTCTGTTCTGCATCTTTCTTGAGGGCTGCTACAGTGGAATCGGCAGATTGAGCTTCCTATATTCTCTGGATTAACTCAGTCTGAACAGTCAGGTGACCCAAATATGTGACTCTCTTCAGGTCCTGAAGTCGCACCTGCTGTGCGGCCCTTATCTGCATGCATTCTAAAACCATCAAATGGGCTAATGTACCTGCACTTTTCCTGTTGAGCGTGTCAGCTACCACGTTGCTCTTATCCGAGTGATACAAGATGTCGCAATCATAGTCATTAAGAAATTCTATCTACCTTCTCTAATACATGTTGAGATCCTTTTGAGTGAATATATGTTTCAAACTCCTGTGATCGGTATATATCTGAAAGGTCTCCCCATACAAATAATGGTGCCAAGTTTTTAAGGCGTATATGATTGCAGCAAGCTCTAAGTCATGGGTGAGATAGTTTTTCTCATGACTCTTCAACTGTCTGGACCAATAGGATATGACCTGTTCATAATGCATTAAAACACAATCCAAACCTAGGTAGGAGGCATCACTGTAAACTGTATATCCACTCGATCCACTCAGTAAGGCCAACACAAGTTCAATAGTCAGCTACTTCTTTAGTTCTGAAAAACTTCTTTCACAATTCTCGTTCCACTCAAAATTGACATTCTTCTTTATGAGCTGAGTCAGAGGAGCAACTAGACTAGAAAACCATTCCACGAACTTGTGGTAATAACCTGTCATCCTCAGAAAGCTACGGGTCTCCTTAACTGATGTCAAATTTTTTCAATCGAGCACTGCTTTCACCTTTTCGGGGTTCACTGACACTCCATCCTTTGATATGATGTCTCCCAAGAAGGTAGTCTACTTAAGGCAGAACCCACACTTACTCAACTTTGCATACAGCTTCTTTTCTTTGAGAACCTGCAAAACTTGAGTCAGATGGTGAACGTGTTCCTCTCTACTTTTT